ACTAATTAGTGTTTAATTAATCACAGGTACATTGATAATTACACCGGCCGCCATACTTCTGTAATAACTGGGTTGGGTTGAAGGAGTTGATTCATGAGTGGTTGTATTTGTCAGTTAGGCCCCATTGACTGTTGTCTTAATAGGCCCCAGTGTTGAGTTGAGTGTTCTATTAGGCCCCAGTGTTGAGTTGAGTGTTCTATTAGGCCCCGGTGTTGAGTTGAGTGTTCTATTAGGCCCCGGTGTTGAGTTGAGTGTTCTATTAGGCCCCAGTGTTGAGTTGAGTGTTCTATTAGGCCCCAGTGTTGAGTTGAGTGTTCTATTAGGCCCCAGTGTTGAGTTGAGTGTTCTATTAGGCCCCAGTGTTGAGTTGAGGTTCTATTAGGGGCCCCCAGAAGTGCTGAGTTGAGTGTCTTATTAGGCCCCGGTGTTGAGCTGAGGTTCTAATAGGCCCCCAGTTGAGTTGAGTGTCTCATTAGGCCCCAGTGCTGAGTTGGAGGCCTATTAGGGTCCCCAGTGTTGAGTTGAGGCTCTATTAGGCCCCAGTGTTGAGCTGAGTGTTCTATTAGGGCCCCAGTGTTGAGTTGGAGGTCTCATTAGGCCCCAGTGTTGCTGAGGCTCCTATTAGGCCCCAGTGTTGAGTTGAGTGTCTCTATTAGGCCCCAGTGTTGGAGTTGAGGTTCTATTAGGCCCCAGTGCTGGTTGAGGTTCTATTAGGCCCCAGTGTTGAGTTGAGGTCTTATTAGGCCCCAGTGTTGAGTTGAGGTTCTATTAGGCCCCGGTGCTGAGTTGAGTGTTCTATTAGGCCCCAGTGTTGAGTTGGAGGTTTTATTAGGGGCCTGGTGCTGGAGTTGAGGTTCTGCCAGGGGCCCCAGTGTTGAGTTGAGGTTCTATTAGGGCCCTGTGTTGGAGTTGAGTGTTCTAGTCAGGGGCCCTGTGCTGGAGTTGAGGTTCTATTAGCCCCCAGTGCTGAGTTGAGTGTTCTATTAGGCCCCAGTGTTGAGTTGAGTGTTCTATTAGGCCCTTGTGTTTTGCTTGAGTGTCTCTATTAGGCCCTGGAAAGTGTTGAGTTGAGTGTTCTATTAGGCCCCAGTGTTGAGCTGAGGTTCTATTAGGCCCCAGTGTTGAGCTGAGGCCTCTATTAGGCCCCGGTGTTGAGTTGAGTGTTCTATTAGGCCCCAGTGTTGAGTTGAGTGTTCTATTAGGCCCCAGTGTTGAGTTGAGTGTTCTATTAGGCCCCAGTGTTGAGTTGAGTGTTCTATTAGGCCCCAGTGTTAAGTGTTGCGTAATCCTAATGGGCCCCAGTTTGGAGAGTTGTGTATGTTACCTAACCTAACCTTACCTAACCTAACCTCCTAACCTAACTCCAACTCTAACCTAACCTAACCCAACCTAACCTAACCTAACCTAACTCAATCCCAATCTAACCTAACCTACCTTCTCCTGAAAATGTCAACTGTCTGGCTCAACTAATGGACTCACAACCCCGTAATATAAATAAATGGATAAAAAATGCCATCAACACGAGAGGCCAAAGGTCACTTTAGTTATGTGTAATGAGATAACTACCTGACCTTCTGGCTAAATGGCGAGGTGAAATTACTTGGAACTGTAATTTTGATTCATTTATGCATACGAGTCTCTTGTTTTTATTGAAGTTTTATGTGTTTGACTCGATGTATTGTGTGTATGTGTGTGTGTGTGTGTGTGTGTGTGTGTGTGTGTGTGTGTGTGTGTAGAAAATTATTACACGGACTATCACCCTTTAAAATCTGAACATCTACAACACCTTTTAAAAATTCTGGGACAAGTTTTTTTTTTTTTTTTTTTCAATGGTCAAGTATTTGACAGCTATCGTAAATCGGGGACCTGAAATGCCTTACCAGGGATCAATAGTCTCTTTTATGTCGAGTTTTACCACTTCACTCCCGCCAGTCACAACACTTACAGGTCGTTTAGAACTTGTACACGAGATACACACACACACACACACTTCCAAACATTGTTCAGTTCAGTGCCTCTTTTATGACCTCAGTCCTGTTATCACCCTCTCTCTCTTCTCTTCTCCTCTCTTCTCTTCTCTTCTCTTCTCCCCCTTTATGCTTACCTACCTACCTATCTAACCCTACCCTTTCTCTCACCTTTATCACCTTCGCTTCCTCTTCACTCTCATCTCCCCAGTGGCCTATTTGTGTTGGCTAGGTTAGTTACGTATGGACCAATTAAGGCAATGTCCCATTTGACCTGTAGACACCTATTCGTGACCCAAGGACATTAATTTCCCTTCTCACTCCTCCACTTCATTCGTCCCTACTACCACAACCACTCACACATTCCTTCTCCCCCACCACCTCCAACCACCACACCCCCCACCCAATCCTCTCCATCACTACCACACCACTGCCTCTCCCCCACCACTACCCCTCCCCACCATCACCCCTCCAATCTCCCCTGTTATTACCATACCATCTCTTTCTGCTTCCACCCATGCCTCCTTCCCCACCCCTCTCCTCTCTCGCTACACCCCACCACCCTCCACCCACACCTGATCAGCCACTAATAAGAGGTCCTCCTCCCTCCGCCCTCCTCCTCCCACAGGTGTCATGGATCCGTCACCGAGACATACACCTGTTGACAGTGGGACGGTACACCTACACCTCCGACCAGAGATTCAGAGCGCTGCACGAGGACGATTCTGATGACTGGGTCCTCAAGATTAACTACGTCCAGGTAAGTGTGTCCTGTACCTGCATAACTACGTCCAGGTGATTATGTCTTGTACCTCCATAACTACGACGACGATTACTGGTCCTCAAGATTAACTACGTCCAGGTGAGTATGTCTTGTACTTGCATAACTACGTCTCATCACTCAAGTTCTCTACAGTATATCCCGAGAAACTGCTTCCCCTAGACACGCTGGTTTCTAGTTTTTCATTTAATAAGGACATCACTATTAAATATGGGTTTCTAATTCACTATAAACCAAGTAACTCCTTTCACTGGAGTTGGTTTCTAAATAACTGTTTTCTAAATATGGGTTCCTAATTCTCTACATCCCTGGAGTGGTTTCTATTCCCCCTATATCCTGACTCAGTGGTGGGGGTCTCTACCTCCTCACAGATGGAGGTTTCTGCGCCATTAATTCTCTACTCGGCTTCAACACATTGGCACGAGGTTAGTGGTCTGTGGCTAACAATTTCCTCTGTACACGTTGTGAGAGGAGAGAAGGAGGAGGGAGAGGAGAGAAGGAGGAGGGGTCAGAGAAAGAGAGAAAAACAAAGATGCAGGTTCATCTGTCTATCTATCCATCTGTCCATCTGTTCATCTGTCTGTCTGTCTGTCTGTCTGTCTGTCTGTAGAGCCAAATAGACTTCTCACTCACAGGCCCCCAAAAAAAAAAAACAATAACATGATCTATCACCAGCTAACATGAACAACCAGGTGGAACAAGTTAACTCAGTTGGTGGATGAGAACATTTTGAACAAGAACGATCATCACGATATATTGGTGGCCCCAGAAATTTGACTCCCAAATGTGACTTGTGGTCAAACGCGTGCACCGCCACCACCACCACCACATTGGAACGAGGAACAAAAGAATGTGGAGATAAAAGTTACAGTTCTCCCTATACCTGGTTCAATACACCTGTCTATTGGGAGGTTAAACACACCTGTCTGTTAGTAAGTTCAATACACCTGTCTATTAGGTTAAACACACCTGTCTGTTAGTAAGTTCAATACACCTGTCTATTAGGTTAAACACACCTGTCTGTTAGTAAGTTCAATACACCTGTCTATTAGGTTAAACACACCTGTCTGTTAGTAAGTTCAATACACCTGTCTATTAGGTTAAACACACCTGTCTGTTAGTAAGTTCAACACACCTGTCTGGCTGGGAGATCAACATACCCGTCTACTCTTGATTTCCTCGAGAAGAGAGGGCAGGGGGGGAGACACCTGACAGACAGACAGATACAGACAGATAGACACAGGGTCGAGAATACTGTATCACAACACATCATAAAACCTCGAATGGATTCTTCCTCCTCCTTTTCTCCCCCTCCTTCCCCTCTTCCTCTCCCTCCTCCTCCTCCTCCTCCTCCCCCTCTTCCTCCCACCGGCTGCCATTCTTCACCAGCCAATATCGGCTCCTCTTGGCGGTATATTAGTTTTTGTGTCCATTAATCCCGTCCACGGCTTAATAAAGACCACCTTCCATCAACAATAATGTCCGTGGGCTTCATCCTCCCTTAACGTACGTGTCCGTGATTACTGTGTACCTAGACGCGCTACGAGAAGGAAGAGGGGAAAAAACAAGTACTGTACGTCCCAGTTCTGAGATTTAATATACGTAAGTGTCCATCAGTGGTGATGTCCGTGGCTACATCTTTCCCATTATGTACGTGTCCGTGATCGTCCTCCATTAATGCCTCTACATCAGAGAGAAAAAACTGGGTGAGTTTGTGCATTTTCATTTATTTATATATTTTTTTTAAATCAACGAATATAAAACACAAAAAAAATACTCACTCCAAAATCATCCATCAGTTGAATCAGTTATGGCGATTTCGTTTTTAGATTGGCGAGGGGGGGGGAGGGGTATGGAAGGTAGGGGTGGTGGGAGGGGGAAGAAGACCTTAAGACAAACCCCTTCCTTCCCCTCCTCTCCTCCTCCCCCTCCCCACCCCCCACTAAAAGGACACCCTAAAATTCTTGTTTGAAAAAGGTCATTACGAAAGTTTTCATCCTGTTCGCCATTCTTTCCAAACTCTCTGATGGTATGATGGCTCGCTCCTCCACGGTGATGCTGTCGAGTAAATTATTTGATGGAGTTATCGTCATCACCAAGCTTAAAAGTTATCGTCATCACCACACTTAAAAGTTATCATCATCGCCAAGTTTAAAAGTCATCGTCATCACCACGCTTAAAAGTCATAGTCATCACCACGCTTAAAGTTATCGTCATCACCAAGCTTAAAAGTCATCGTCATCACCACGCTT